GCACCGCCGGGCACCGCCGCGCGGACCCCTCGCCCGCCTCTTCCTGCCCCTCGCCCGCCTCTTCCTGCAGCCGTGCCGGCCACCGCACCGCCGAGCGCCGCCGCGCGGACCCCTCGCCCGCCTCTTCCTACAGCCGCGTCGGCCACCGCACCGCCGGGCGCCGCCGCGCAGACCCCTCGCCCGCCTCTTCCTGCCCCTCGCCCGCCTCTTCCTGCAGCCGCGCTGGCCACCGCGCCGCCTGGACCGCTGCGCCGTCCATGCTCCAGCCGTGCCTCCCGCGCCGCCGCGTCGGCGAAGGGCGACACGGCGACAGTTCAGTTGATGGTCCTCTCGCCAAAACAGGTAACAGTGGCAATTCTCAATTCAGTTGATGTCTAGATTACTCAATTCTTTATCCTCGGATTCAGTTCTGCCCTTAACTCGCAAGTTAACCTCAAAGGACGCAGGATCGACAACAACAACAGCGCGGGTAGGACCTCACAGTCTCAGGCATGGATTCTGCATGCAAAATTTAAAACGTAAGTTATGTATCATTTATCTCGAGTAATGACTGGAGCAAATACAACCAATCTATACCCGCAAAAAAAAAAAAATACAACCAATCTATGCTGATGTCAAGAAAGAATACATCCATTGACAAGTAATCCGTTTATTACGCTAAACTGAATAATAAGTGCTTGAATTAAATATATGTTGGTAGAAAGCACAGGAAAGGCAGAATTTTCCAGAGGTGAGCCCATGAATTTGAGTTGGGTCAGCAAGCATTACAAATGTCTAAAACTCTTGCATTTTAAACAAATAATATGTAGATTGAAGCAAAAGAAGAGGCAAACATTGAACATCATAACTGAAACATACACTTCAAAACTATGTACAGTATGGGTATTTCTGAGGTGTGCATATATACTCTAGAACTTATTATCTAAGAGATCAGATTGCAAACAACACTAGAGGATTTTCAAGCAGAATTTCACATGGGAACACAAGAAATTATCGACTACACTGAAAATGAAGTACTGGTCTCAAACAAACTGGTCAAGAGAGGGTAAAAGTTGAAGGCACTATTCCATAGGATTCGACTATACCTGCAAATAATCTACACTAATGTTGGCATACTTTTAGAACTCAGAACATTACATGCTTCCTACTTACATTTGCAGATTCATTCATACTTCATGGATTGATAATTTGGTATATATTTGCCCATAACAATTGGAAGAGAAAGTAATTATTTTCTCATCTTACTTCATGTTTTAAATCTCTAATTTAATCGTATATACAGTTTTCTCCGCAGCAGAGGAGGATACATCCTCAAGCCCTATATATTTGTGCACCTTAAGCACCTGCAAGCCAATACGATGGGCCACTTAGATCCCCTCCTCCCGGTCAGCCATCCTTGACATTGATTCAGTCTTGTTGATGACGTACGAGTAGCACAGTGATTCATATTGTTGATGTCCAATATTCAATCTTCTTGATATGCAAATTCAGTGTATATGTTGTCCAATTTTCAGTGTTCTGTTGTCCAAGTATTCAGTTTTGGTGTTATCCAAATTTCAGTGTACGAGTAGCACTGTCATGGTGTTTGTCATGGTCATGTTTTACTGCATCCACCCTACAATCAATCTAAAAACATTCTAACCCAGCATCTCGGTCTCCTGTGGACCAATTTTGTAAGCCAGATTGATGTCATGTGTAAACAAAGGCCTACATTCATTCTCCTTTTTTCATACTCCCTCTGTCCCAAAATAACTGTCTCAAGCTTAGTATAACTTTGTACTAAAGTTAGTACAAAGTTGAGACACTTATTTTGGGACGGAGGGAGTACTTGTGAAGACCAAATTTAGAAAATTGAACTGTCTGTGATTTCAATCGGGTCTGAAGCTTCTGTCTACTATAATTCTGTTCCCTGCTGATTATGATTCTATTCACGTAAATACATGAAGTTTGTGGTTCATTTTGTTAACTGCTCTATAATAGATATTACTATTTTTTAAGGTTGGTGTTGACTGCTGACAACCAATAAGATCGCCCTAAAGCAGCCCTCTCTCCAGCACATCTGCTACCATGCACCATTGATTCATATAATAGATGACAAATTTGTGATAGGCACATTATTTACATGAATGGATCTGGATCTTATGGAATTTCGGATGGGAAAGAGTTATTTATCAGTTTACTTTATCTGATACATTGAAAGTTTTTTTGTTTCTATTTATGGTAAAAAAATTGGGTTCTTCACAATATAGTTAATGGTAAAGAGTTAGTTAAGCCGACATTCCAAATTACTTTACTAGATTAGTCATATCTTTTGTAGAAGTTGAATATTTACTTTGTTTTTCATATCGCATGTTTAAGATTTCCAGTTCAATCTGCTTCTGCTGGTACCTAAAAGTTTATCCAACTATTTCATTTTCCTTGATGCAGCACAATGACCATCATCGCAGAAGCATAGGTGGTAGACGATGAGCTTTTTGGAGGAAGCGGAGATGGAGATTTCTATTCACCAAAAGATGGAGACGGAGATTTATATTCACCAAAAAGATGGAGCCGCCATTGACAAGCACTGACGAGCAGCTCAGTCTCAGCTGGGATGGGGCGGGCTTCCAATAGAGGTCAAAAACAGGGAATGGCTTTTTGAGCTGATGGAGGGATCACTGGACGTGGTGTTCATGTTTGTGTTGGCTTACATGCATAAATAAGGAGTATAGTAAGACTTTTCCAATAGTTCTCTTGGAGGTCATGTCTATGCCATTCAAGGATTTTCATATCTGAATGTTATGACAATATATAGATAGGGGAGATAGCCCTCCGCGTCCTGGTGGCCACTGTGTGCTGCAGCGAAGAGCACACTTCAATTAGTGATCAGGCAGATGCGGCGATCCCAGATGTGCTTTGACATTGTGATTTGTAGTTGTCAAGGACATCATTACCCAGGCCGTTCCTATGCTTCGGTGAGTGGTACTTCTCTCCCACCACACAGATTACACTAATTTATTTGATTATAGTTGAGTGGTCTGATCTAATTAATCTATACACTTAGACACACAACCAAGAAATGAAAAACCTGCTCCAGAGATCTTCAAAATAGTAGTACAATATTAGGTATTGTAGAGTACAATTTGTTTAAGCTAAGTTTTTCTTTTGCATGGAAGCTAATTTTATATTTGAGGTGTAATAGATACACATCCCTTGGATACACTCCGGTGCTGATGGTAATACTTTCAGTCACTCACAAACAATAAGCTTCAGCATACAAGGCAGAGTTCAATGCTATTGGACTCGGGTGCTGGTATACAATTTCTTGTACATTTTACTTCAGCATACAAGGGAGAGTTCAATGCTACTAAGTGTGTTCTTAGTGTATTGACAAAGCCAATTATGGGGCCACTGTTGGAGGTTCTTGAATGTACCCTGCCACTATGGAACGTGTGTGCAGAAACAGTTGCATATCTCAGTTCAGCTGCAATGGTAGCGATGGAGACATCATGCAGTGTGGTAATCATTTGGCCATTTTTGTTCATCTTCAGTACAATATTTAATATTGGTATGGTTACTATAGTCTCCCAAATGATTTGTTTCTTTTTCCCTTTATTTTATTATTATTCTAATGACTTACTAATATTTTTATTTGCATTTTATTTACTGCAGCCAATTCAGTCTTGTACCCTGTAATTTGGTTCGTCGGAGAGATACTAGCTGCACCTTTCCGACTTGTCACTGCACTAGCAAGTTTTGTAGCACACTTCTTTGATGATATTGTTGATATTTTAGACAGACCTGGTCAACATTAAGTTCGTTATATCAAGTTGGTTCTGCATCCAGAGCACCTGCACTTATATCTGAAACTACCATTTGGGGATCACTCTGGAAAGATCTTCTGTACTAGGTAACATAAATTTGTTTGCATGCCTACTAATTTTTTCAATTAGTATATTATGCAACTTACATTGGCTCTTGTTTTAGATTTTCCATGCAGCCCGGAGCATTTTGTACAGTTTTGTTGCCTTCTTTTCAATGTGCAATACGCATCAGCTAAGGTAATTTTTCTTTTGGCTTGTATGCAGAGGTAGTATTTGCAAATCAGACAAACAATTAGTCAAAAATCTGAATGATGAGAACATCTGTGTTTTTTTGTTAAGAGTTCAAACTACTTCAAACTGGCTTGTTTGGTGTGTCTGGCCAAGGAAATTTTAAAATTGTGTGTAGTGTGCCTCACATTATGCCTCCATGAGTGCTATGTGTTAATTGCGACTACATGCTGCAGCATTTACAGTCACATAGAAGTTCTTCTCTGACGCCTATCCTGCCTTAAATGGCATGCAACACACCTCCTCTTGTGAAGGAGCTCGGAAGTATACTAATCAAGATCATCCTGTAAGTACTTGCATTTTATACTTATGGTTGACGCTTGTGTTCATTCAATCATGTTTCGGAAATGAAATACCTCTCTAGGGAAAGAAAAACCCTGAGAACTGATATTATTTATTTTATTATGATACTCCTGGACATCTGAATACATAGTTCATTCCAAAACAGCCCATCTACCGTGGACTGGACACTGAGAGTGTAAAGAGCGATGGTGATGATTCTGGAGATTGTGTTAGGGTGTCGTCAAGTTTCACAAGCTCATCATACACCCCACCAGCCACCACCTTGCTCTGGACCTGACAAGAGAAGAAGGATAACAAGATCTGATGCTGGAAGCCTGGAAGTGATATATCTAAAGAACCATACTCAGAATTTGTGACCTCACCAAGATATTCATCTTCATCATGTTGCAGTGATAATGACAGTAGCAAGCCACTGGTGGAGCCTAGCACATACAAGGATGTGTTGATCTTGTTCTGATTCAACGATCATGATCTGCCGTTCAGACTAAAGGAAGTTATACTGTCTGATCGTTCTTGATCCCTTCCTTCGCGTTCACGACCGTCGGGATGACTCCATTGACGAGACGTTCGCATTGACCACCGCCCCTGCACGATGTTTAGTCTCTAGGCTGTAGTGTGTTAAACGGACGAGAAATCTGAGCATCTCCACTTGTCCAGGTTTCTCCACTGCATATTCTGCACGCCCCTGCACCTAATGCCTTCCATAGCTATGCTAACCCACAGCAGCAATCAGCAAGGTTAGCCCCCCTTTGTCAGTGTTTTTGTTTGTATATTGTCCTTCTGTTCTGATGTGGATGGGTGGAAGCATGTATTTCTGATGCATGTATACGTTTTAAGAAGGGATGTTGATAGAAGACTCCTATTATGCATGTACCTATTTTCTTAAAAGCTTCCAATGTCTGTCATGTCAATTATGTGGGCTGACCAAGATGATTGTCTTTTATAGCTTATATATATACTATGCATTTTTTCTTTCATTTTTTTGCTTGTGTGTTCATTGGATTATTTTATGAGCTGATATTCACTTAAATAATAAGGAATTCCATGCAAAATTCCACGGAGCATAATCTTGATTGCCCATTGAGGAAGAAATTTAAGCTAACGGCACTACTAATGGGTGGCACTGCTGGAAGAAATTTAAGCATATAATTTTGTACATGACCAATGATGATTTTGTTGTAGCGTCTTCGGTGCATATAACCCTTGAGCTAGGCAATCAGATGGATGTCCTGGATTTATGATAGTTTTTGTCAGCATTTATTTTTATTGGCAATAACAGTTGTAATATACACTCTCTGCTTTAAGGAAAACATTTTGGTGTTAAGATTGCACTTTTGAATGTTGGTTAAATGGCATTGATATTTGTGTGTGATATATTCCATTTTAGTAGTCATTAGGGTGAGTATCTGCAGTACATAATCAAGTCTTAGAAATTCCATAATACCTTATCAACGCCATTAGCATCTTTACACAAGCCTTTGGTTAGCGACCTCATCTGTGAATCATCCGTTGATTTAACTATTTCTTGATTTAATTTTTCTCAGCCTTGAGTTGTCGATTGATCATATCATGATATTGACTGTATCCATTGATTACTTTTTTCCATCTTTAGTTATCACCTATTTACATCATGATATTAAGGACCTGAATTTTTGGGACATGCGGCCACGCGATGCCGTAATCTGAGACGTCCCGCTGCGCATCAAGATGGCTACTTAATATAGGCCCATTTGTAATACCTGACGCGTTAATCACGGACCTACTTGAATACGTCGCGTTATACATCAGAAGAGTGGGCCAGACGCTATTAATGCTCGTATGAATGCATGCTCATCTGGTAGCAGCCCTCATCACAGGGGATGGCATAACGGATCTTGATGGTGGGCAGACATCATTAAGAATGCCCCTTGCTCCAACCCTTGCCCTGTGGAAAAGCAGATGGAGAAGAGGAGATGGCTTTTGCAGAAACGGAGTTTAACAGGTTAGCCGGTTAAAACTACGAAACTGCTGTGTGGACGACAATAGCCGAACGAACTGCGCACGATGGAGTATTTAACGGTGTAGGTTCACTTTGAATCGACGCATGGACGGGTTGATGTGCTTCATCGTGCGGAGATCGTCCACAACCGTCGTGTGTGTAGCAGCACTCTTAAAACTATACTTGATCTGTGGTTTTCGGTTTCTTTTGGGTACGATTCAACGAGCCCACCTATAATCATCTCTCTGTTGCCTCAACCCCTAGCATGTCTTTTTGGGCAACTTATGGATCTGGGTGCTTAAGTGGAACGTGGGAGATGCCTGTTTACATCTCATGTGTTAGAATTTTCCAGCCCGGTCTCACATGTCTTTCTTTTGCTCGATTAGTGCAGGAAAAGCAAAGCAGATGCCTGACGAGCGAACAACAAGTGCTGAAAGATCAACCACCCTGGAAACGGCCCTAACCTGAGTTTCAAAAATAATGATGGCACTCATTTAAAATACACCCCACTCCTTTGAAAAAACAGATTCCGCTCATTTCGCTTAATTCGAACAAATAATTACAATTATTTTCAAAGGAAAAAAATCATTCGTTTAGAACAACATATTTCACTCTTTAAAAAAAAAGACTCCACTCGTTCACTTGATTCAAACAAATGTTTTCAATAATTTATTTAGAAGGATGTACTTCATTCCTTTATTTCGCTCCTTTAAGAAAAATAGATTCCACTCTGATATTCACTTCGGGGTCAGGCCCATCTGCACCCAGTGAACAGTAAAAATAAAATAAAAATAAAAAAAATAAAAAAATCTGATTTTTTATCTAAGATGCTTTGAGTGCGCCAGATGAATGCAACCTTTCATGGCTAAACTATATTCCAGGAGCTCATGGCAAAAAAGACAAAGTGAGCTTCAAACAGTGTTGTTTTCAAATATTTCTCATTGATCCGAAATTTGTCTCTTTTGCCGAGAGCTACTAAAACGTCCGAACTACACGAAATTTAGCACGGACTTCACGCATACAAGCATCTGGTATCACAAGAAAAAAAATCATTTTTTTTACTATTTTTAATTATTTTACTATTCACCCACGGTTGCAGATGCACCCGAGAGCCAAAACGCCGCTCCCATTCCACTCATTTCACATGATTCAAACAAATATTTTCAATCATTAAAAAACAATTACACTCGTTTAAAATAGCATACTCCATACATCACTCATTTCAAAATACAGATTCCACTCATTTCACTCAATTCAAATGAATAATTTCAATGATTTTTGAAAAGAATGATTTTATTCGTTTAGAACAACATATTTCACTTGTTTATTCCACCCTCCTTTACAAAAATAGATTCCACTTGTTTGACTCAATTCAAACTAATAATTTCAATTATTTTCAACAAAAATGATTTCACTTGTTTCACAAAATAGATTACACTCGTTTCAGTCAATTGAAAATGAATAATTTCAATCATTTTCAAAATACAGTGATTTCACTCATCTAAAACAAGATATTGCACTATTTTATTTCACTCGTTTCAAAAGGCAGATTGAAAATATTCGCTATGTACCGGTACCTGTGCACTCATTAAAAAATCCACTCTTCTAAAAAAATAATTTTACTAAAATAAACTTCAACTACTCAAGAAAACATGTTTCGCTCATTTCAAAAGAATAAGGTCGCTACAATCAAAATCAGATTTCACTTGTAAGTGTTGTTCTAAGCAGTTACACTGAAATAGGTTGAGCGAAATAAGTGAATTTAAACATGTTTGAAATGTATCCTAGATTAGTCTTGTTCTAAGCTACCCAAAAATGTGTGTTAGGTTGTTCTAAAGATCACCGTCATAATCGTTGGCATATGGTTTTTGGAAGAAAAAAAGTGGCTTAAGCAATCGAACTGGCCAATAGGAGGATGGTTTCCATTGATCATCGGTAATGTTGGCTAACACTTGCAGTACATTGTATTGAGAGACGATAAATGTTTATGTCAGAATATTTAGACAAGCTTGTTTAATGAGAAGTTACTCTAGTCTCTAGCCAGTCCAACTAACCCAAGGGGTTTCCGCTGGGTGATGTCAAACATAAACGGCCCTGAACTGTTTCCATTAAAACTTCATGGGTGACTTAATGAGCTGCAGCTGAGGGGGTCCTGGTATTGCAGGCCCGACTTAATTGACGTATGCTCAAATGCACTGCTCGTTTGAATGCCCGACCCTGCCTTGTGGGCCATCTCTTGGCGAGGGCGTAGGTAATATGAATGCATAATGCTTTGTATACAACACATCAATCTCAGTATACATGCTACTCGTATTTGGACTACACGAATCACGTGGGAATGAGCGGGCCTGATACCGACCGCGCGTGGCACCATGTCCACTTGTGATTATTCGATGATATTAAGAACAATTTTAGGATTGCA